CAGGCAGGGCTGAGCCTTAGCCTCCCTCCCTCTTCATAGTACCTCTGGGACACCCACCACACAATGCCTTCTGCCTCCTTCTCCAGGATGTTTTGGGCTGTGCGCCAACTGAACCGGACAAACTGGGGAAAGCCAAACACGGGCTCCACGTGCTTCCTCAACCATGCTTTCGTCTTGGGATCTAGGGAAAGGGTGAAGTGGGCAACAGTGAATGGTGACAGCCCCTGAGCCCTGCCATAAAGTCCCAGCTCCTCAGCCTGTCATCTGAGGCCCTGCCACCTTATCTCAGGCCTCCTCTTGAGTATCTAAGGCACCTCCCACTGTCTGAGACATCTTCCTGCCTCAAGGACCTTTGCACAGGCAGTTCTCCTCTGACTCTTCACCTGGCCAATAGTTGCTCAAGGCACTATTTAAGAAGATTGCCTCTGAGACATTTCCTTTACTCCATAAGGACAACAGTCATTAAATCAGCATTTGTGAACCATCAGGTTAATGCCTGTCTCCCCCCACATGACCATGTGTTCGGTGGGGACAGGGAAATCCTTGGTTGTCTTACTCATAACTATATCCCCAAGGCTTGGCCCTGTACAGCATGTATCAGGTACTCAGTAAGCACTGAATATTGGCCAAACTGTTTTTGGCCTGGACCTGGTTTCCTCACTTTGGCCTCACCTAAGTTCCAATCACAGACTGTGTTGCCCCACCTACCTGCCAGTCTCTTCCGTGGCCTCAGAAGAACCAAGGGGTTCCTTGAACCCAACCACTGAATCTTCAAATCTGCCCTTGTGTGTGTTGGGGGAACAGAATCACTTCTACTTCAGAAAAGGAAACTGAGTCTCATCATGGAGAGAGAACTATGGATTTAAGCTGAGGCTGGAGCCACTGGACATACGCAGGTGCCCCTCATTTTGCCACCTTTCCCTTAACAAATAGACAGATACCCACCATGGGTCTCAGTATCTCACTGGGGCTCCAGAGAGCAGAGAGAGGGAGGAGCAGAACGGAACCTGCCAGCTGGAAACCAGCTCTGCCACACACTTGCTGTGAGCAAGCGGCCCCCAGTCTGGGCCTCAGCCTGTTCCACTGTGAAGCAGGATAAGCAGAACCACTCTCAGGGCTGCCTTGTCAGAGTTATCACCAGTATCACTATCTCAGGGCAGCTTCCAAAACAGCTCCTACCACCATCTGCTCACCATTGGGGTAGCCTGAGCCATAATCGGTATCCAGGTTCTGTAGTTTTTCCACAAACTGCCAGTTCTTCACGGCCTGGTCTCGGGCCACCTGTGGGCAAGACAGGCACTTGAGATCTCCCTCCCTTGAGATAGCCACACCTGACCCCTGCCCAGAGGGATACTGGGAGCCAGTCATGGGCAGCAAGGGGCTGACCTTGGCACAGATGCTGGCGGCGCTGACGACAGGGTAGAGGGCATCTGCCTTGGCCTTGACAGTCACCTCAATGCCAGGAAAGCGCTGCTGCAGCCGCTCCTGGTATGTTTCTGGTAGTCCCACAGTATCCACAAATACCTGCAGCGGTGACAGGAATGTATTCACTCAATAAACACTGAGACAAACTGTGCAGATGATCCAACCTCATAGCCTTTACACTTGCTATTCCTGCTGCCTGGAACACTCTTCTCTCGGCTCATCCCAGGCTGCATCTTTCTCAGGGTTCTCAGCTCAAGCATCACCTCCCAAAGAGCCTTTTTCTGACCCAGTTGTATCCAGTCTACATTTACTGAGCACCTACTGCATGCCATGAGGTACACTTAATAGTGGGAACATGGCAGTGAACACACCAGACAAAAACTCATGTTCTCATGGAGGGGCACCCTGGTGAGGGCCACAGACAAGAAACAGGGTAAATAATAAAGGATAGGGGGGAGTTGGAAGAGGCTGTCATTTTATTTTATTTTTATTTATTTATTTATTTAAAATATATCTTTATTGATTTCAGAGAGAGGAAAGGAGAGGGAGAGAGAGACAGAAACATCAATGATGAGAGAGTCACTGATTCCCGGGCATGTGCCCTGACCAGGAATCGAACCCCAATCGCCTGGATCCCAGGTCAACGCTCAACCACTGAGCCACGCCCGGCAGGGCGAGGCTGTCATTTTAAATGGATGTGGGGAATTCAGGGACAGTCACCCTGAGATGGTGACATTTGAATGAAGTCCTGAAAGAGATGAAGGAATAAATGAGCCTTGTGGATGGAGATCTTGGAAATTGTTCTAGGCAGAGGAAAGAGCCAGTGCAAAGGCCCTGAGGTGGGGAGGCCCCATGGCTGGAGCAGAGAGGTCAGGGAGGTAAAAGGGAAAGTGATCTCCACTGCAGTTATTATTCTCAGAAATCACCTTTATTATTTGCTTACCAGCTCCACATCCATCTCCCTGACTTGGGCACGAACCCGAGGGCAGGGACCTTGTTTGTCTGCTCCAGTACTGCATCGTCAGCTCCACTTTCTAGTTTTGGGCCTCAGTCACTTCCTCAGCAAGGCCTCCCTTGTTCCATTCCCCACCTCAAATGTATTTGCCCATCTCATTCTCTCAAAACAGCTGGTTCTTTGCCTCAGAGGACTCAATACCATGCCAATTTCTATTTCTCTGATAACTTAATCTCATTCTCCTTCCCTTGACTGTGAATGTTCCTGATTTAATTTCCACTATGATCAGAAAATTAAATGTTGAGATTTACAGTTTGAAAAAATAACTGTTGCTGCTGCTGTATTGGGAGCAGATTGTAGGAGAGGGGGCTGGAGGTGGGAAACCAGGGAAGAGAACGGGGCAGGCATCCAGGATAGGAGGGTGCCCCTGGGCTAGGACAGGTGGACAGATGTGGGATTTGTTCTGTCTTTGTTCTGAGCTTTTAGGATAGAGATATATGGGGCTGGAATTGGGGGCCCCACCATGGTCCTCAGTGGGACACATATTTAGGGTAGGAAAAGCAGGAGACAGACAACAGCAGCAACAAATATTCCTGACGCTGAAATGCCCACTGCACTCATACCCCCATTTTGTTTTATTTTTTTAAATATGTCTTTATTGATTTCAGAGAGAGGAAGGGAGGAGAGAGAGCTAGAAGCATCAATGATGAGAGAGCCATTGATCGGCTGCCTCCTGCATGCCCCCCACTGGGGATGGAGCCTGCAATCTGGGAATGTGCACTGACACGGAATTGAACCATGATCTCCTGGATCATAGGTCAGTGCTCAATCACTGAGCCACGCCAGCCCGGCATCATACCCCCATTTCATCTTGAGGTGATCAAATGGAGCAACCCAACAGCTCACCTGAGCAACTTTCACACCCTGGTCCAACGCATACTGCACCAGCCCAGTGGCTGTATCATGGGACAAAGAGTTCAGGTTGTATTTGACCCTGCAGTGGGGAACAGAGCCCAGTCAACCCCATTCCAGCTACCTATCCCTTCCAGCCCAGGCAGGCCGCTCCCCTGACCCCGACCCTCCTGGTGAGCCCTCACCGCCCAAGCATGCTGGTAGAGATAAGGTTTGGAGACAGCACGTCCAGTGCCCAGCCCACAAAGTCCCCATCTTCCTCCATTTTCGCAAAGAGCCTGTCCCGCTCGCTCTCCGACAGGGTCTTTGAGTCTGGGAGAAGGGTTAGAAGAGAAGGGAGTGGCTGGTTCTCCCAATTCCTGCTCTTTCCCTCCAGTTTACATCCGCCCACGCACATGCCCAGAAACCCCCTCCCCAGGCATACACCAAGGGCTCACCTGCCACTTTCAGGGCCTCCAGATCTGCCAGTCTCGACAGGGGGCAATAGCAAATGGCGTAGACCATGGGGCCTGGAGAAGCGGGGGTCCAACAAGTGAGCCCATGAAAGCCGCCATCCTTATTCCATCATCATCATTACTTTTTCCGGTGCCATCACCAATGCCATAGCTATCACCACTATCAATCCCCCTCACACCGAAACCGGTGCAATCCCGGGTCCCATTCCAGTGCATCTGTACCCCCCTTATCACGTTCCTCCCCCTCCCCAGCCCTGCGGGCGCACCTAGCACCGGGCCCCGGCCAGCTTCATCGACGCCCAGGACGCACGGCTCCTTGCGACACACTGCGGGTACAGGCGAGTTCAGGCGACAGCGGCCCGTATTGTCTCTCTCCAGCTCTCCGAGATCCATGCTGCCTCAGGGGCCACCACCAGCTGCAGGAAGGAGGTCTGCAAGAGCAGGTTTCTGCGCGGGTTTTCCGCGGGCCCCTCAGTGGTTGTTGGTCGCGACCAATCAGGGCGCAGGACACGCCCCCAACGCTCCGCCGCCGTTGACGTTTGCGCAGCCGGCGCCGACGGCACCGCCGTGGGTCTTCCTGGGAATTGTAGTTTCTGAGGCCGACCGTGGAGCTCTGAGTTTGAGAAACCGGGTGCGAGAGGTCGCTTTCGAAGCTCGGTTCCCAGGTCTCCGGAGCCTTGCCCGCCGGGGCTGGTGGGAGAAGCGGGAAATAGACAGGAAACTAAGGCGGACCTTGAAGGACCGGCCCAGTTAGGGCCTATAAAATGAAATACCATTACATTCCTAGAATTCCCGTCCTCCACCTGGACTCAGGCCAATTTGCACCCGTGATACTTGTCATTCCACAAAGTCTAAGCACCCTGGACTAGGTATCCCCATCCCACTGGGCTCAGACCTTTGGACTTGGGGTCCCCCAACTACTTCTCTCTCGGCACCTCATTTGGATCTCTGCCCCACTCCTCCTACCCTCTATCTTATTTGGGCTAAGCCTCCCCTTCCTCCGAAACGAGGTCTGAGACCCCAAGACCTCAAGAGACTCCTCTATATCAGGGTCCGCCCTTCTCTCCCTCATCTAATTTCCTGCTCTCAGCGGGCTCACGTCCTCTGCCCGTGGGTCTCTGGCCTTCACCAGGTTAATGCCCCTTCCTCAGGGTCACGGCTCCTCTATCTCTGTTTTCTCCCACTATCTTTCTTCCTTTCTGCCCGGATATCAGCGGGGCTCACATCTCCGGACTCAGCTCTCCTCAAGCCCCCACCCCCCTCAAGCCCCAACTTAGGGCCCCGGTTCTCCCTTCCCGGGGCCCACCTCGTCTGCGCTCAACACCGTTATTCCCCTCTTCCCGCCCACCCTGGGGACTTGCCAGCCCACCCCTGCCCTCCTCCTCTGCGCCTGTATCTCACCTGGACTCAGGGCCTCCAGTCACAGTCGACTGGCTTGCAGGATGAACAATCCCGGTGCCCGCAGGGCAGCACCTGCACCAGGTTCTTGGGGTCCAGGAACACCGGGCCCGGTGCTGTCCCCAGCACCTCGCGGCTGCGCTTCTGCTTGCCCAGATCGCAAAGACAGTGCCACTTTCCCCAGGGGCCAAGGATGGAGTCCTCCACGTCTAGGGAGGGAGAGTCAAGTCTATGGGTGGTGGGGGGGACACACCTACCTCCAGCCCCTCCTCTAGAAAGGGAGGAAGCTAAAGACACTAACAGCAACAGCTCAGGATTGCAGCACTGTGCCTCTGGGCCAGATTCACTGCCACAGATGATCTAGTCTTCCCATTAGCCCTAAGTGGGGAAACAGACCTAGAAAGAGCAAGCCACCCTTCCAAGCTCACACATCTGGTGAGTGACCCAGAGGGATGCAAACTGACACTTCCCACCTCTACCAGTTGGAGCTGTGCTACAACACCCTTCATGCCCACCCTCAGAAGCTGACTCTCATCTTCAGGGATGTGATCATGAGCCGGTCCATCTGGCACAGTTCCACCTGACCAGCAGGTCTGTCAGGTGGTAAATTAAATTACATAATTAGCATAATAAAGATACTTAAAGCCCCTGGCACTGTGCTAGCTCATGGAACAAAAACAATGAATATGGAAAAGAAAAAAAAAGCCCGGCCGGGTGTGGCTCAGTGGTTGAGCGTTGACCTGGGATCCAGGCAATCGGGGTTCGATTCCTGATCAGGGCACATGCTCGGGTTGCAGGCTCCATCAATGACTCTCTCATCATTGATGTTTCTATCTCTCGCTCTCCCTCTCCTTTCCTCTCTCTGAAATCAACAAAGATATATTTAAAAGTGAGTATGACCACTTTTAAAACAACTACGACTTACTGAGTGCTTAACCACCCCCCTTACAGGGTTCTTTTACTGACTTCTCCCTAGCCTCTCTATGAGACATGCCCTAACTCCCCAAGCCTCCATCACACAACACTAGCATCTTTCAATCTTCCTGTAATAGTGAGGAATTGTAACCCATCCCACCATTCTTTTGACATTGTTTCTGTAGATGCTAACTTTGACTAATATGTAACTTGTAGATAAACAGCATGTTTGTACAAGAATCCTAGGAATTAACTTCAGAAGATACAGACTCTATCCTTCAGTCATCCCAGCTCTAGGACAATTGCTGACCTTCAATGGTAAAACCAGGTTGATGTAAAACCAGGATGACAAAAACCAACATCATGCACAACAGACCATCACTTGACCAGATTCAAGGTTCTTTATCAGAATGGACTCTGCTGGTCTGCACATAGAGAACTTTTCAACTCCCTTCCCTTGATCTCTTTATTTTGCTTTCCCTCTCCCTCCTTATAAAAACCTCCACCTGCACTGAGATGCAGAGATGGGCTTTGTGACAAGAGTCCCCTATCTTCTCAGGTGGCCAACGCTTGAATCAACCTCTTTCCTTTTTCACCAGCATCTGTCTTGTGAGTTTGGCTTTTGTGGTGCCAGGCAGCTGAATCTGGGTTTTGGTTACATTCCATCAGGCCTTTTGGCATATTTTTTCCCCCACTCCCTGGCAACATTCTTCCCCCTAAATCTTTGCATTTTTTGCTTTTCTTGTCATGCCAGCTACATTGGTTATCCATCTTCAGTCAGGCCTTCTCAGACTTCAGAAATTGACCTGCCCCCTTCTTTCTGTCTCTGCCCTCCCTACTGCCTATCCATGTGTGTTTTTGTTGTTGTTACTGTTGTGCTAATCCTCACCCAAGGATAATTTTTCCATTGATTTTTAAAGAGAGTGGATGGGAGGGAGGGAAGGAAGGAGAGAGAGGGTGAAACATCGGTGTGAGAGAGACACATTGATTGGTTGCCTCCCACCCGTGTCCCAACCAGGGCCTGGGGATCGAACCTGCAACCCAGGTAGTGCCCTTGACTGAGAATGGAACCCTTGACCTTTGGTGCAGAGCCCACGCTCTAACCACTGAGCGACGGGGGCCAGGGCCACCTATCCATGCGTTTATGGATGTGTCTGCTTGGGTCCTGCTCACACCGCCTCTCTCCGTGTAAGCTACTTAAAGGCAGTCTCTATTTCAATTTACAGATGAGAAAACTGAGCTTCAGAGAAAAGTGACCAGCCCAAGGGACATCGCCAGCGCGGAGCTGGGCCGAGATCTGAAGTCCACGGAGGAGGGTTTGTTTGCAGCCGGCTGGCAAAGTGGGGCAACGAGGCACCTTTCTGCCCTGTCACACCCGCGGCCTGCGGTTACCTTTCGCCTGTTGCTGCAGCCGCAGCTGCTCCCAGGTGTCGCCTTCGCCCTTCTCGCCGAAATAATGGTAGTCGGAGGACACCTGGACAGGGGTCGCCAGCAGCAGGAACATCAGAGGCGACAGCAGTAGCGCAGCTGGGCCCCGGGCCATGCCGGACTCCAACCGCTCCCGGCGCGCTCGTGGGCCCGCGCTACCCCAGCGGGTGGGCTCAGGGGGCGTGGTCCGCGCTGCGCGCCTCCCCCAGCCGCGGGCCGGCCCGCCTCCCCCGCGGGCTTCGCTCCTCCTCCCCTACGG